TTTTGCACAATCGGAAAAACCTGCACCAAAAATTAAACGACGGGCCCAAAAAAAAAAAAAAAGGGGGTTAATTTTCATTTTAAAATTTTTCAAATTCTTTAAATTAGCTGGGGGCCCTAAGTAAAGATTCTGTGCCCCCTGAAGAAACCCGTTCGGGGGTCCTGAAAAAAACGATTCTTTTGGCCCCTGAGAAAACGTTTTCTGTGGCCCTGAGAAACGTTCCCTGTGGCCAAAAGTCTCTTGGGCCCAAAACCTGTCCCCTTTAATAACCACAGGTTTTTCCCCTCCCCTTGAATGACCGGGGGGCCCCAAATGGAGAATTTCAAAGATGGCCGCGATTTATGCTCCACCATTACACAGTGCTGGCGGGGTTTTTTTTGCTGTTTGGCAATGCATAACATGCCTAAAATCCCTTTGGGGGTTCACCCGGGGCCTTTGCCCCGGGCGGGGCCGTTCCAGAAAATCCCCCCCCCCCCTCTTCTCTGCCTTTTTTCCCCCCCGTCCCCAAACACGCCCGCCCCCCCAATTTTTGGGAAATTTCCCGTTTTGTGCATCCGAATTTTGTAATCTTGGGATTCGCCCGCGAATAAAAAATTTTTAAAAATTTCCCGGAAAACCAAAATTTCCACTTCGTAAAAGTTCGATTCGCTATCTCTAGTCCTAATGGAAATGGACACATAGGAAAAACCCTTTGAGGCTTCTCCAGGCAAATGCAAAAGTCCGCAGAAGCAAAAAAATTTTAAAGGGCCCAGTGTCCCCAGGGACCCTAAAAAAGGCTATGGGTTTCCCTTGCAAAAAAACCGGTTTAACCTTAGTTTTACTTGAATCGGGGCCTTCTTTTTTTTAAAGCATCTCTTTTGGACCCAAAACCCTTTTTTGGGTGCTATGAAAATCTCGGTATGTAACACTGGGCACACAAGGGAATTTTCACTATTGTTTGTACCATGGTCTTTTAGATTACACGTATGTGCAAAAACACATTTTTGTGTATGCACTTGGATGAAGCAGCTTCATTGACTACTTTACATCAATAGTTCTTTTTATAACTAGGGCACTTTGCAAAATGAAGGTAGACATCACAGTTACAATACAATTTGGTACAAGAGGAAACAACAAAATATAGATGCTACCCCTCCCATTCATTAGAGCACAAAAACTTCAACATGTACTTGGGCAAAGTATAACCTAAATAGCATCTATACTAAAGAACTATTGAATACACTTTATAGAACCATTCTACATAAAAATGTTTGGAAAGACGAAAATGACAGGCAAAATATGGAAGGGAAAGGGGGAAATGGAAAAGGGGAGAGAAAAAAAAAGGGAGGAGGGGAGAGGTTGGAAGGGGAGGGGCACAAGGGGGAAAGAGGGGAAGGGAAGGGGGAGGACAAAGGAATGCCAGTTCTGCTGGTCTCCTGTCTCTATCCATGATCACCCACCACGGGTATCACCACCCTGAGTGGCCAAGAAGAATGCTTAAAGTGGCTTAGTTTGTAGACAATTCAGAAGACAGGGATAAGGTCCAAAACCTTTTCCAAATGTATGTACTGTGCAGAATTAGACCTTCATAGTTTCAAGAATGGTCCTGCAGGAGCTCGCTATAGAACATTTTCATGGAAATGTTTCTGGCATGACTTAATTCCGGTATATTTGGGATATTTAGTCCTGTGTAGTGTAGGTCAGCTCCTCCATCTCTGCAATACAAGCAGTTCAGTGAAGCCATTCCTGTATTTATGGAGAGTAGGAAGACCTCTAGCGCACTGAAACACATAGCATAGTGGCATTAACCACTTTCCATCCGCTCATACCAGCGTCCTGATCACCGCAATACCTCATACCAATGTCCTGATCACCGCCATACCTCTTACCAATGTCCTGATCACCACTCTTCCTCATACCTGCTTCCGGCATTTTAGGGTCTCAATTTATCAATTTTTCCTCAGTAAATGTAGCAGAATCCATTTTGGCCTAAATTTAGGAAGATTTTTTGCAAAATTTTATAGCAAAAACTAAGCAAAAATATATTTTACATTTTTGCACATTTTTTTTATATAGCAGAAAATTAAAAAACCAAGTGGTGATTAAATGCCACCAAAAGAAAGCTCTGTCTCAAAAATTATAAAAAAATTCACATGGGTACAGTGTTGCATGACTGAGTAATTGTCACTCAAAGTGTGACAGTGCTGAAAGCTAAAAATTGGCCTGGACTGGAAGGGGGTGAAAGTTTCCAGACTTAAAGTGGTTAATCATATGCATAGTAACTGATTTATGGTATTGTAGTTTGGGAATCTTATAAAAGTGAAGAAGATATTGCACTGGGGTAAGTTCTAAGGGAGGGGTCAAGAAGGCCATTGTCGTATCATGAACCTTCTGCCCGAACACCTGGAGCTCTGGACAGGACTAGCAGATGTAGAGAACAGTGCCTTACTGTTGACCACATCTCCAAAACTGATTTGAGACTGATGGTAAAAGCACAGATGGCGCTTTCCACCAAAGGGTCTTTATCTTATATCCATTTTCCTGGATGGAAACATTCAATGAGCCATTATGTATATACAAGTAAATAATGTCCAAGTCTTCCTCATCAAGGGTAGTCCCCAGCTTTGCTTTCCATGAAGCACAATCAGTGTGCAAGCAGTCAGAGCAAGCTCCAAATTGAGATGCATAAAAAGCTGAGAATAAATGGCTCTGATGTGTTTTTCATGAGCACAGTGATTTGAGTACAGTTGGCACAGTAGTTTTACAAAATGTGGCTTGCGACTTGGATCATTCAAAAAAATGTTTAAGCTGGAGGTATGGTCAGAAAGGAAATTACTCTGTGGTAGAAATTTCCATTAACTTTGTGAGATGAGGAAAACAACCTCTTTGGAAAATGTTTACCTAACACCATAGGGTGGGGCCATTCAGCTGCAAAGAAGGATTTGGACATTCCGGGCAGAAAATCCAGGTTACCCCTGACAGTTATAATGATACAGAGTTTGGAGCACACAGAATAAGTTCCACAAGCTCTACCAAAATTATAGAGGACATCTCCTATGCGAGGATGAGAGAGAAGGGTTGGTTGTATGTATTTTATGGTAAGCCATGGCACAAGGCCCAAGTCAATCCCAGCTAAACTATCTTTTGCAATGGCCATGGAATTTCCAGTCCACTACCCAAGTTAAGTGGGATGCCCAATAATACCACTGAAAATCAGGTAGGCTAATGCCTTATATTTGGGCAATACCAGTCTTGTAAGAGGTAAAAAAAAAAAGACAGTGGCAAGTGGATTGGCAGGGTTTGCGCCTTATACTGTATATGAGTCATGGGAGTACTGACATCTTCAAAACAGATGCACTTCCAAATCAGGAAAAGGTGGGCCTGTTCCGCCTTTGGAGGTCTCAGCAGATATTATCTAATTCTGGAAGAAACTTTCTAGCATAAAGTTCTGTTAGGTCTGCAGACAGTTAAATGCCCAAATATATTATGGCATCCGCTATCCAACAGAAGTGAAGGACATTATCAGCAATAGCTGCCACCTTACCCTAACCCTCACTGATACAACTTTAACATTGAAATTTAATCTAATGCGTAAAAAGACTCTAACGTCCGGACATAAAGCAATGGAGATAGCAGGCACCCTTGCCTGGTACCATTGTGGATGTAGTAAGTGTTCAATAGGTGGCCATTTACTGTGACCCTGGCTCTGGGGTTAACATAGAGTGACATAATGCAGGCATGCATATTTGACCAGAGCCTCTAAGTCCCCAGGACCGCTTCCATATAGTCCAAGGCCATTCTATAGAACACTTTGTCTGCATCCATCAAAAGAAAGAAGCCTGCCTGATAAGTAGAGGTAAGCCAGTGATCCAAATTCCAAGCTTTTATGGCATTATCCTGTCTTCCCAGCCAGGTATAAACCCAACTTGATCACATGCAATCCATGCTGGTAGATGGTATGTCAAATGGATTGCCAAGATCTTTGCAACAATCTTGGTATCTACATTGAGAAGGGAAATTAGCTGATAATTGGCAATGTGAGAAGGCTCTTTACTTATTGGTTGTTAGGAAGAACAGTGACATATGCCTCCAAGAGATTCTCCAAGGTGCAGCGATCTTTAGAGAGTGATTTAAAGGCCCTAAGGAAACATGGAGACAGAAGATTAGAAACGCAATTATAACATTGCACTGGGAAGCTGTCTGAACCCTGACTTTTTCCTGGTTTCATACTTTTCAGTGCAGCTTCATATTCTTCTTAAGATAACAGGGCCTCTAAAGCTTGCACATTGGCAGCAGACAATGAAGGTGGACAAGATAACTTCAAAAAGTTCTGAATCAAATGTTGACACTTACCATTGGAAGATGTTAGACTCCTGAAGGTTAAGGCTGTAGAGATCTTATTAAAAGTTTTTAAATTGGTGGGCAATATCCTCATTTTTAGAATGTTGCATACTAGCCACAAGATGGACAGTAGAGTCAGTCTTTTTTTTTAATATACTGTAGCTCTGGCCAGGAGTCTGCAGGTGTTCTCAGGAAAGCTGTGCAGCCATCCACCATCACTGGAGGGCAAGAAGAAAACTTCTATCATGCAGGACAGTGAATAGTGGGCGTAGCTCCCTTCTATGCTGGAGTGTAATACTAGACAAGTACTGGAAGATCTGTATCATTGACCCGTCTTTAACCTCCCTGGTGGTATGATTATTTCAGATTTTTGGTGCTGAAAGCGATACCATTATTTTGCATGGAAATTTGGCTTTTTATATTGTAGGCCTGTAATTTTTAGGAATAACTCACTGAAATCTGGTCGAACAAGAGTCTGGTAAACATTTCGGGTAGGATAAACCTTGAAACACAAAATCATAAATTATAATTTAATAAATAATCCTAAAAAATAATAATATAATATATATAATAAATAATAATAATAAATTTAATTCAATAATATAATCAAACCAAAAACACTGAAATTTGAAATATAGCACCAAGTTCGTATATCGCTGAGCAAAGTCGCAGAATCGTTTTCAGTGTCTGATGACGAATTTCCCCACGAATCATTGTCACTCAATTCTGCAAGTGGTTCTGATTTACTATCGCTGTTCTCTAGCTGGTCTAAAACCTCTTTTGACCTAAAGCGATGCTTTTTGGACGCCATGGACTTTTCTACGTTTCCAGGCAGAAAGAACAGTCAAAATGCAGGCAGGGCACAGGACAAAGCAGTAGGGACAAAATGTATGTGAAATGCTTTGAAACAGTAATCTGTAAACAGTAAACAGTTTTACTATGTCATATTCGTTTATTAGAAAATGACAGTTTCTAAAATATTTAAATTTGCCGCCGGTTCCGGCCCCCGGACATCCCGATGCTCGCAGGGACTGGAACACGGAAGCCGGATGCCGGCATCGGCCGGAGGAGATGGCCGGGGACGCTGCAGCGAAGGACAAGGTAAGCACTGCATGGAATCCCTGAGCAACGCCGCATGGTAAGCCCGAGTGTAGCTCAGGGATACCGCTTATGGTACTGAAATTTTACCTCGAGCTACACTCGGGAATACCGCCAGGGAGGTTAAAGAGGTGGCCATGGGTGTGGGCATTTTGTAGGATGTCTTCCTTCTGCGAGAAGCTCACTAAACAGCATACGGTGTCACGTGGAGAGTCAGTGTCCTGACCTCTGGGCCTAAGAGCTTGATGACACTGCTCCATATTAATAGGTGAGTTATAGCTCACCCAGCAAAGTGTTAAAGATAGCCCAAACACCCAGTTCCAGGTATGGGCCATACACAGATTCAGGGATCCCCCTGATCCAGAGGCTGCACCTCCATCACCTACTGTTGAGATCTGCAATGTACTGTACCCATGTAATGGCTTCCCCATGGGCCATGCTGGTAACCTCCAAAGCTTTCAGATGGGAAGCAATAGCTTTAATATCCATCTTCAGGTTAGAGATTGCTGCTGAAAGAGTCCAGCTTCACTGTTCATAGGTCTGCCAAGCTACGGAGCATCGCATGGTCCGATGGGACAGAGGCAGACAGACTGTTAGTAAAGCCATGGCAGGAGGCGGATCAGCTGTCAGATGGTGGGAGTGAATGTCGGGTACAGAGTTGTTTTTTTACAATGTACCCCCTACCCCATACACAGTCACATAGGGGGGCCAGGATATGGGGGCCCCCTTGTTAAAGGGGCTTCCAGAGTGCCATAAGCCTCCCTCGCAGACCTCCAGAACCACAAAAAGAAACGCAGGGCCGTAGGGAAGAAGCTCTTGTTCCCACCAATATTGGGACAAGATGCTTGGGGGGGAGCCCCTCTACTCCAAAACAGCTCCCATATTGATGGCATGTTGCCTGGTATAGCTCGATGGGGGTCTTCGCTCATCCTCCCTTTTCCTGGTCTGCCAGGCTGCATGCTCAGATAAGGGTCTGGTATGGATTTTGAGGGCCCCACACCATCTTTTTTTAATTTTGCATTGGGGTTCCCCTTAAAATCCATACCAAACCCATAGAACCTGATATGGATTGGGGGGACCCTCACATAGTTTTTTTTCTCATTTTATTGTTTACATTTATCTGTCAGTGGGAACCCACTGACAGCTGATGAGTCATCGGTTGTTAAGGAAGCATCGGTCAGCTTGCCAGTACACTCCATAACAACCAGCTATTGTTAAGGTTGCTGGAGGCCACCCACTCCTAAAATTTGTGTTAAAATCTGACATGCCAAATTGCATCAGAACTGTATCTAAATTGCAGCTAAACCACTGAACAGCTACTTTGGAAATTTGCACTGAAAACAGACCTGAAAATCAACCTCACATGTATCAATCAGCACCAGTTATCCCAGATATGACCAATCGAGCCTACATTTTGTCTGCATCATTAGTGTCTAGGTCAGCAATGACCCTTATGTTTCAGGGCCAGCAATAACCCTCAGCACATTTCACGGCATGAAATAACCCCCAGCAATAATAATCACCCTCCCTCAGGCAACAATCATAATATACTCCATATCAACTGCCCAGCTTGTCTGACCCAGCAGCTAAACAGATGTTAACCCCTTAATTCCCTGTGTCATTAGTACAGTGTCAGTGCTTTCCCTGTATTAGTGTCATTGGGATGTCAGTAGCAGTTAGTCATTTCCCCCCGTGTCAAAATGCCCGCTGCAGTCCTGCAGTCCTGCAGTCCCGCTATAAGTCGCTGATCAGTGCCATTACTAGTATAAAGAAATAAAAACAAAAGTTCCTATATATACCGCCATTTATAGACGCTTTAACTTTCACATTTTTTTTAGCAAAGACATGTAGCAGAATACACTTTGGCCTAAATATATGATGAGATTTTATTTTTTAATTTTTTTTTTACTGGATATGTTTTATAGCAAAAAGTAAAAAATATTGTTTTATTTTTTTCAAAATTGTCAGTCTTTTTTTGTTTTTAGCACAAAAAAAAAAAAAAACACAGAGGTGATCAAATACCATCAAAAGAAAACTCTATTTGTGGTAAAAAAGGACACAAATTTAATTTGGGTGCAGCATTGCATGACCGCACAATTGTCAGTTAAAGTAATGCAGCACCATAACGCAAAAGATGGCTTGGTCAGGAAGAGGGTAAATCCTCTGGAGGGCAAGTGGTTAACACTTATCCTACCTAAAAAGATGAATGTTTCCTTTCCTGCACATCCCCCTAACGTTCACTTAATACATGTAAAAATATATGGACATTGATTACGCAGTGATGTTTATGGGAGTGTGGAACCTCTATTTTTAACACAAGTTCAGAACGTATAAGATTATTTTTTTCTACTTTTTTAATTGATAACAAATGTTCCCCCCATTCCAGACAAAACCAGACAAGATATGTGTGTGGATTATCACCAAAGCAGAGTTCACCAAACATTGAACCTCCTTCTGTGTTTACATGAGGCTGTATGTCCTAATAGTGTGACATGTTACCCTACTGCTTAAATGCATTTGGCTTTTTAGAATCCTCCAGTCGCCAGCAGAAGTTGCCCTCGAGGTTAGGTGGGTTTATTCAGGAGGTCGCTCATTCTCTGGTGAACTGCTTTTTTTTAATGGAGAAAGAGACACAGACTTAGCATAAAATACATTGAATGTTTTAATGTAATTGAGTTTGCTAGGGTAAGTGTACTTCCTAAAAGGCTTATTAAATCAGTTTGTTTTCCTTTATACTAAAGCCAGCCATAGATGGATTGAAATTCAGAAGGAACCGAACAAATTTCGATCCATGTATGGGCAGGTTGGTTGTACTAAAGTTAATTGCTAGAATGCTATAGCAGCCAGCAGTGGTCATTGTGTTCTGACAGCTAGGAAACCTCCCACTGCCAGAATACAAATGCTCCAGGGAGATATTCCCCCATCAACTCTGACTGTGTTGATTAAGGAATTGAGCAATTTTCTTTCCTGCAACAAACAAAAATTGCATAAATGTATTGCCTGCTTTAAACTCTTGCCTGTATTTCAAGACAGCCTTTCCCACCTCAGTTTTGTTGCTAAAGCACATTTAACCACTTCCATACAGGACACTTTTACCCCTTTCTGCCCAGGCCAATTTTCAGCTTTCAGCGCTGTACTTTGAATGACAATTGCGCAGTCATGCAACACTGTACCCATATGAAATTGTTATCATTTTTTTCACAAAAAGAGCTTTCCTTTGCTGGTAATTAACCGTCGCTGTTTTTTTTTTTTTTTTTTTTTTTGCACTATTAATTAAAAATACAAAACATTTAAAAAAAAGAAAGGTTTTCTTTCTGTCTATCTTAACATTTTGCAAATTAGTTTTTTTTCTTCATACATTTAGGCAAAATATTATACTGCTACATTTCTTATTATTTCATATTATTTAGTTCGTGTGAAAGTTATAAAGTCTACAAGCTATGGCGCCAACCATTGAAAATTGATCACACCTGATCACACCTGAAGCACTGAGGGCCTATTTTGTTTCTTGAAGCTCTAACATGCTAGGAAAGTAGAAATAGCCCCCAAAGACCCCTTTTTGGAAAATAGACAGTCCAAGGTGTTTAGCAAAAGACATGGTGAGTTTTTTGAAGTTGTAAATTTTTTCCCACAATTCTTTGGAAAACAAAGAAATTATTAATTTTTTCACACATAATTGTCAAAATAACAAGCTATTTCTCGCACCTGGCATATACATACTTGCAATTGCACCCCAAAACACATTCTGCTACTCCTGCTGAGTATTGTGATACCACATGTGTGAGACATTTCCACAACCTGGCCACATATAGAGACCCAACATCCAAATAGCACCTTCATGCATTCCAGGAGCATAAAAGGACCATAAATTACACATATAATTTCCTGACTACCTATCACAGTTTTGAAAGCCCTGGAGCACCAGAATGGTGGAAACACCCACAAAATGACCCCATTTTGGAAAAAAAACATTCCAAGGTATATTTTATTAGGCATAATAAGTCTTTTGAACATGTTATTTTTTTTCACAAGTTTTTACAAAATGTGGAAAGAAAAATGAAAACTTTTTTTTCACACAAAAGTTGTCAATTTATAAGATATTTCTAACACACAGCATGTGCATACCAAGAATTACACCCCAAAATACATTCTGCTACTCCTTCTGAATATGGCGATACTACACGTGTGAGATTTTTTCTCGGCCTGACCACATATGGAGACCCAACATCCAAGTAGAACCTTCATGCATTTTAGGAGCATAAAAGGGGCATACAATACACATCTAATTTCCTGACTACCTATCACAGTTTTGAAGACACCAGGACAATGGAAACACAAACAAAATGACCACATTTTGGAAAGAAAACTCTTGTATATTCTATGAGGCATAATGAGTCTTTTGAAAATGACATTTTTTTCCAATAGTTTTTGGAAAATGTGGAAAGAAAATGAAAAAGTTTTTTTTTTTTTTTTTTTACACAAAGTTGTCAATTTATAGGATATTTCTTCAATACTCAAAATACATTTTGCTACTCCTCCTGAACATGACAGTACCACATGTGAAACTGTCACAGCCTAGCTGAAGAAAGGATAAACAAAAGATTACCTGTGGTTTTAGTAAACCAGTTGTCCACAGAGGAAAGCATTGCACCAGGAAGCAGGCAACAGCCACAGGAATTGCCCAGGCATCAGGCATGAATATGGTGGATAAACAAGCCAGGGTCAGAATAGGCAGCAGACTGACATCCAGGCAGCAGACAGAAACGTGGTCCTTAAAATGTCTTGGGTCAGTACAGAGACAGCAAGAAGAGATATGGTCAGCACAGCCAAAGTATTGGTCCAGGCAACCGGCAGGAACATGGTCCGAAAAAGTTTTGGGTCAGTACAGGTAGTGAGAGGAGATATGGTCAGCATAGCCAAAGTACTGGTCCAGGCAACAGGCAGGAACATGGTCCATAAAAAGTCATGGGTCACTACAGGCAGCAGGCAGGGATAT